GAAGGGAAATATGTGTTTTGGAGGCAAACTGAAGTTTTCGAAGGTGTATCTTCACAATGGCACATAAGGAGTCAATTTTTCGGGTGGTCCAGGGGGTAGCGCAAGGCTAACCCATCTAAAATATCTCCTGAACTAGTGGGTCTTCAGAAAAACTGTAAAGCTTATTGGAAAGAGAAAAGATGGAGGGGTTTCAAGACGACTTCAGTCCTGATGAAATTGCGTTTGAACGAAGGAGTCCTTGTGTGAATCATGAAAACCAGCTCGCGATTTACCCCTGGCCTAACCCCGTGACCCATCCGGAATATTTCACCACGGGATTGTTCAGTTTGCAGCTAGGTAGAATACACAATAGAAGAAACTTTGCCGTTGCATGCTGCTCACCATTCCTCAAAAGCTCCGCACTAAAAAAAGATATAACCCCCCCCCCCCGAACAGACCCCAGGACGTTGGCAAGTCCAACAACCGCGCTCCAATGACGTTTTCCAAAGAAAGCGGTCGCAGCCTTGCGCCCTGCAGCCTGATCGATAATAGCCAAGTATGGAACGATTTACTGCCGGCCTGGTTATCCTTTTTTCATTTAGCTCTGCATAGCATTTTTGATTTTCCACATGTTTTTTCGCTTTGTTGTGTCGTGCATGTTTTCATTATTTCCCCGTCACCATTCATTGAATGCACATCTGGGCCCTGACACGCTCACCTTGGGGCTATTTTTTCACCAATTCGCCTATCAATGATCACCATTAGCCGCTATTTCAATTGTGTTCCTTGTTACAAGTTGCATGTCATACATAGTTATCGAACGAGGAGTTTTATTTTGAACCCTAAGACAAAATTGTAGGTAATGGGGGGCTCGTATGTGGACCCTCTTCGAGAGGGGGGGGGTCGTACCCACACCGCCATTTGACACATCCCCATGCTGTACCCTGCCGGGAATGCCAGCCGAAGGATTGATGGGTATCGATGATATCCGTCAGTGCTTAGAGAGAGAGGATCCTAGGATGCGATCAGATATCGTAAGATAGTGGAGTTGTTACAGTACTGCGTAAATTGCTATTTTTGCTCAAAGAGCCGCGCCCATTCTTTCCAAACGCAGCATCTGATACCGCATGCCTTGTAACATGATTTTTAGGGAAGCAATAGGTAAAAAAATTAGAAATACAGCAATAAGTAAATCTTCGTAGAAAGGCAATTCCGCGTAAGTGTGAAGCAGCCGAAGAGGTGCAGCTACGTGCTCATGACTCAGTATGTGGACACGCCTCCCCCTTTCCGAGATACGAATAGCCAGCGCTAACTTATCATACTCAGGGTAAGGCGTAGTGACTGTGAAGTCTTCAATTTTCTGTACTTACCCTTGAGTCTTCAAGAGAATCTCTATGGAGCGCCGCTTCTCAGACATTCCTTTACATATTTTTAGGAAAGCAATAGGTAAAAAAAGTGTAGAAATACAGCAAAGTAAATGAAGCATAATGTGAAAATACAAGCATAAATAAGCGATACATAACAAGAATTAGAACACATCTGGTGCGATTCGGACGAATGACTTCAGCGGTTCCCGAATTGAGTTGGAGTCATGCCAAAATTGCACGGGTCAGTGGAGCGAGTGGGTGGAAGGGACGGAATGTTCGGACACATGTGGTTACTGTGGAAGGCTAACTAGAACTCGTCAATGCAATAACACTGAAGGATGTCCAACGCCAACATGCGTGTAAGTCTATTTTTTTTATAATTCAATTGTATCCATACGCCGTGACTTTGCATGATTTCAGTGGGAATAGTACTGAATTGGCTCCTACTCCTTGCGATAGCGGTGATATATGCTTGTTCCCGAAGTTGGCCTGCTGCGCCGGCACTAAGGTAAGGAGTCACTTCATAGAGCTAACAGGTCGTGTAGAGCAGAAATAGGCCGCGTTCATGCTTTGCAGCAGCGTCCACTAGCGCTCTTGACCGTCTGGCCAGCGTCCCAGCTCGCCAGATATGCGATGGCTAGTGTTGTGCCAGCGTGCACCAGCGTCTTCAGGCCGTTCAGTATGTCTAACCACGTCCACATGCGTCTCGAGGCGCCTGGCAAGTATAGGTATCGATCCACGATCTGTCAGCGGGCACCAGCGTCTACCAGCGCCTGGGAGAGGAGAGCACGGCGCGATAAGGGATAGCAGACAGCTGGTAAAGAGTACGGTGGTACCAGCTGTCCCGCAGTACCTTCCTATCGCGCCAAACTCTCCTCTCGTGGCACACGCTGGTAGACGCCAGATCGATACCTATACTTCGCAAGCTCTCGAGACACTGGTGGACGCTGGAAGACGCTGGCACACGTTGGATCGATGTCTATAATCTCCCAGACAGCTAGCACGCTGCCGCAAAGTATGAACGTAGCCTTATAGTAATGATCCGTGCGAAATGATAGGGGGTGAGAAAGTAGGGGGAAGGACCGTCAGGCTTAGGGCAGCCTGACTTCCAGTTGTTGGGTCTGAATCAGGAGGTACGCCATCATTGGTGAAAACGCTGTTCCTGGTTTGCTATTGGCGTCACGCCCCTTGTTTTGGGACTCTTGAGAAGGCATGAGGCTTCTTCACGTAACTAACAACTTTCGGCTTGCAATACGCGTTCCTGATAAAAGTTAGTTTCCAGACGGTCAGTATTCCGGATAAACGTTTTTACTGCAAGGTGGATAATAGCGAAGAATGAGGGATCCAGTCAAATTGTCAAGTTGTCGCCAAGCTCTACGTACATTATTGATTAATTATCATTATCATAAATTATATCATTAACTACACTCCTTATCCCTGGGTCAGAGTAGGCGTGGCATTTGAAGGTGGTACGAAACTGGTTACTCGTGGAATATTCCAGTCTGGAACAACTGCCGTCTTGTTCTGTTGTGAGCAGAGGACAAGGCAACAATTCTGTCAAGGTGAAAATATCTCAACAGAAGCATAGACACCTTCAATTAAGTTGTATCATGCGGCCACGCCTTACCCGATCTCAGGGATTTCGAGTATACCTCAGATCATGTACAACCCACTTTTTAATAATGTATTTTGCATAAATATTTGCAGATTTCATTGTTTTAACTTGTCCAAGCTATAGCACGGAATTATGAGGTGTTCCCTCACTGTTTATCAGTCGAAGGATTGGGTTGGGTAAGAAAGAACATGAAGGGACATATTCCGGCGAAGCCGGCTGATTCGTGTCGTAGCCAGCTAATATAATCGCAATCAGTCGGGGCGGTGTCGGGAAGGATGGAATGAGCCCTCCTGTGGCCATTTTTGCTTAATCGCTTCCTAAATCGATAACTAACCGAACCGATCACAATTGGTAGAGGAAGGCGGTCAGAGGTGGCTCACGCCCCTCCCGACACCGCCCCGACTGTACCATTGAACTGGGTCAGGATTGTCCATTTCAGTTCACAGTACCTTCTCAAAATATTTTCTTGAACAGCGTGCCTTTACACAGTAGACGCCTAGAAGTTATAGTAAACGTCTAGTTGCTCTATGTCTCTGTGGACTTTCCATGCCATAGCACGTTATTGTAGTCACTAGCCGTAAGCGTTCAGTCGGAAGCGTGGCACACGCCGATCATATGTGCGGGAGCTATCAAGCATTGCGCCTTCTCGTTGATGCACCACTTCTGGTACTAGCCATTCCTTACCCGTACACCATAGACGGTGTTGCCGTTCTCCCCAGTCAACTCTGTTAGGGACCTTGGCTTTCGTTACTCCAACACTTTAGACTTTTCCGAACATATCAAAAACCGATGTAACTTGGCTTTTCTTAGGACGCATCACATTTTCAAGGGTTTGTCCTCTACTAACAAGTCTGTTCTGCTCAAGGCATACAAAACATACGTTCGTCCTTTAGTAGAGACGGGAGCTGCTGTGTTCTTCCCCACTAAGAAACGGGATGTGTTAGCTTTGGAGAAGGTGCAAAATAACTATACTCGCAAAAATTACCTCATTTGCGAACCAGAGCTTCTATGATATTCATGAGCGAGTTCCCCGCAAAGCTTCACATCAAAGAACAAATACTATCCGTCGACACTTTACCACCACTAGAAACGTCCGCGATGCAGTACGCCACACTCCGTGTCCACAATCACCGGCCCATATAGCAAGCTTATGTACGCTGTCTAAAAGGGTCCAATATCCTACTCAATTTATTTGAAATTGCATGCAATCACTGACGCAGAGGTGGGAAGCTTAAAATTCTCGATTATGTCCAACTGCACGCACCACAGTGACGAGCCGCTAGCTTCTAATTCAGAACCGCGAGCACATACTCACAGAGGCTCCACACAAGAATTTGCCGCCATTCCCAGTCACTGTCGTGCACAACAGGATGTAGCTGCACGGCTAACTTAGTCCACGAACATCCCTAAGTCTTTTGAGATTGACTCAGAATTTCCTAACCTAACCAAAAGTCGATAGTCCTCAAGAAATCGTTGCCCAGCTAATTTTATCCTTCCTTGATGTACCTGAGTGAAGCTGTAATTTTCCTAGTTATATATCGTTTTCGTCCGTTCACAGAAAGTTTTCCTTTCTGATGTCCTTTGTCTAGTATAGTTCCCCCCCACATTTGCCCTTAAGCAGCGTAATAAAACATCAAACATATACCATACTAGTAGAGAGGAGGGCGACGACCAATCGAGGAAGAACAAGAAGGTGAGCCGTTTCTGGCCTTCTATCTATAAGCGTAAAAAGTGCCTTCAATCGAATTCATTGTTGCATTAACAATTGTTTGGAAATGAATGCATAAATTAGTTATCAGATAGGCTGTACTAGTGCTCAAGGTTCAATATTAAGGCACATATCAAAGCATTCCCCTGCTATGTAAGACGATTGATGGTTCGTTGAGCAAGCATATCACCACCACGACAAGCAAAGTAATTTATTATAACAATGAAATTGACACCTATACCTATCATTACAAGAGACCTTCTCTTAGAGCTTACAACGTATAATGACGCCTGGCCAACACTGCTCGTACATTCTTGTCGATGGATCATCCTCATGGGTAGATCAGGTGATTCACACAAGAGTTGCGCTGAAAAACAGGAAAAATTCAAAATAAAAAAATGTTGGGCATAACCCACGCTTGCGGGCAAGGGTGCCTCCCAGGTAGGGTACCTCACTTATTCTTCAGGTGTAGCATCACTAAAGGCGGCGTCAGCTACTTCTCTGCGACTCGACCCCGGTGCCGTATACCACAGAGCGGGGGGCGCGGCGGGGACAGGGATGGAAGGAGGAGGGAGGGCTCGGCACAATACAACATAAATCCAAAGTAGTAGTTGCTTGCAGTCGTTCAAGGTGCTGACTGCTCCTCGCGTGACATCATGTGGCTTTCCAGAGCTGCGCCCTGCGTACGGCACGGGAAGCTACCGTACCCTACGCCTGATTTGTTAACCGGATGAAACTATGCAAATGAATATATCGAAGCTGTTATATTGATGAACTGCGCTTAAAGCGCAAGGGCAGATACAAAAGTTAATAAATAGATCTGTAATCGCCTATATGATCTTCGGACGAGTCGTGCCTCAGTTATGAACAAAAGGATTTGTGAAGTTCAAGTAGCGCTTTCAGCTACTAGGAGACAATAGCTATCAGTCCAGCATTTTGAGGGCACGCCGACGTAATCTGCTGTACGCCGGATCGACACCTATCTCTCCTAGTCGCTCAAGGCGTTCACTTGTGGCGTGTGCCGCATCAAACGCTGACGCCAAAGTATGAAGCGCTCTATTGGTTTGCGTGCTGTCTGGCAGGAAAGGGGGGCGGGCTCAATGCATATACGGCAATTTAACAGTTATATACAACCCACATGCCTATCATCCGACATCGTCTGCAATCCCTGGACTGCGGCCTCCTAATCAAGGTGCTATTCCTCCTACATCGACCATTGCTTGATCACCATTGGTAGAGAAGGCACCGGGATGCGAGCTCGTGCCGCGCTGCGCTCGTGGCCCCCGACAAATTGCAATGTTACAAACAAGTACAGTTATACTGTTAAAAAGAAACAAAAACAAAGAAATATAAACAATACGCAGCGCAATAATGGCAGTATCAGCGAAGGTAAAACGTTGAAAATGCCTAATGGAAGCAGCCAAGCCTGTAAGTGCGATCGCATGCATCTGAAACGTGAAATTATTATAAACACAATGAGTTATCGCAGATTTCTGTGATCTTTGGGTGGGACAGTGGCTCACTTTTTAAATTATCAAAATAAATTTTTCTCGGCCCAAATACGATCCCCCCCTCTCCTGGCGGCCAAATACGATCCCCCTATTGGCAGATTCTCCAACAACCCTGACTCAAACAGCGCCCTATCAAGCTGCAATGTATCGACCCAGACGCCCACCGCGCCCGCCCGCCCACCGATGCCGATTCTTGTACCCTTACTTGCGAAATACAATCTGAAGAGTAGGAAGTGGTGTGAAGCGGCTGAGGTGCTGCATGGATGTATGAGTACCTGCATGCCAGCCGTATCCACCGTGACATTTTTGGCACGATGCCAATAGGGAACTCTTCCGAAATCTCTTTATGAGTGGTGTAGAACAAAAGCTTTTTGCAGGTTTTTGAAGGTTTCACTTCGCTCTTTCGCCATTTTCTCACTACATAGCACGCCTGCTCCTATGTTTGATCAAGTTCCAAATTACCGTGTCTTGTGCATTCAAAAATCGGACTCCACTCGTGTGGTTAGTGTTGTGGCTGACATCAACATCAACCGTAAGATAGAAAAAGAGCTGTGAAGGAATTTCGAATAGTTACAAGTCACCTGAGTGTAATGAGTAATATCCATGCGCGGCCTGTTCATTAGTTCTTCTGTCAACTTGTTCTCCGGTCCGATACCATAGTTCTTGAGCTCGTCCCACCATTCCTGCGATGCCTGAAGTGAAATTTGCAGCTTATGTGGCCTTCGCATTTCAGCCCGTATGCACTCGAGGGCGGCTCTTCCCCGGCCCGAGCCATCCTCGAATTTTCAGCAAAATTTTGGCTGACCGTGGTTGCAATGTTAACTCTGTCAACATTTAAGATTGAAGACATATAGATGTTTTCACGCAATCCTGGGCGTTCGGCCGGTGTAGAGTGCCCGTAGACACATTTTCGACTCTGTCTAATAGCGGATGCTTCAACGTCGCAGTCGTAGACCTAAATACCAGTTAAAACTTATCTCTGAGAGCGAAGTACTTTTTGACATCCAAAAGAGAAAGCACGAACCATTTTCAGCATCTTTGAAGCCTTAGGGGCGTTTCCTCCGAGAGCGTCCGGTTCAAGACCTTTGGCCACACGAGACCTGCGAATGTTCCATTTATTGCTCGGTTAACATATATGACTCGGTATTACTGGTTGGTTACTGTTATTGGCGCATTCTTGCGCGCCTAAAAACAGCCATCGATTGCACTTCAAAACTATGTACAATCCTATAGACTGAGAACCTTGTCGCAATTCTTCTTTTCCACTGTTCGTTTTTTTTGTCGCGCCTACCGTTTTCAATAACGGATTTCTCCAAATTGTTCTACTGTCGCTCGCCTCATAAATAGAAATCCAATTGCCCCCAAAGTACATCCTGCCGTTGAAGAAAATTCTAGCGAATTAGTCCCTGCCCTCTTTCTCAGGATTTCATCCTCTGATACGACCCCTCTTTCCCCGTAGCCATTCCACCTACATTCTGACTACCATCTTCCTTTCCGAGAAGTTCAACCAACGAAAGCTCTTTTACAAAAGCAGATACGACCCCCTCGGTCGCTTCAGTGACCAACTACGACTCCACCTCCCAGGTATTTCCAGCGAACAACGTCTCATGACCGTCAAAGAGGGTGCTAATTCCGGCCACAAATATCCAACGCCTGCGAAACAGTACAAGAAAAATGGCACCACTCAACCTATTAGAAAATCCAGTAGAAAACGTAGAAAGACCTCATCTCACAGTACGTCAGTTTTATGAGCCCACAAAGAAAAGATAGGTACTGATGGAGCCAGCCCAAACATACCCGACCTCACCAGGGCCGTCCTACCAATTACGGAGAAGGGTCTGCAAGTACCGTTTTCATCAAGATAACAACTTCATGGAGCTGCTGAAAAGATGGGCTGGAAAAGACCCCACGGGTCCCGAAATTTTAAATAGCAGGCGCTCTGTGGCGTAGTAACGTATAGAGACACTTATCCTCATTAATTAGAATCAGTGAAATTGGTGTACTTTTTCAGTGGGCTTCGAAAATCGCGATCTGAGAGAGAAAAAGTTGAGGAAATCGTGGGGCACCGTAACAGCAGGTTAAATAATTTGAACCAGTGAACAAACCTGAAAAAATTGTGCAGATCAAGGAACTTCCGCCTGGCGGCATCCGTCATGTTTCCATTTGATGGACACATTGCATTTGTACCAGGATCTGAACAACTGAACTCTAAACTTGTCGCGGAGTAAGTCATTGTTTAGGGTACGCCGAGGTGACTTTTACAGGTCCTCGCAGATCTGGTCTCCTGGTCCCCACCTCTGACTGTCTTGCGGCGAGTAACAAAACGTACATATAATAGCTCCTAATTTCTGGGAAAAAACCAAAAAGCCATGCATATCTCCTATATTTCTTTACTTTTGCTTCCTACGTCACATTGGTGAGAAGAATGGTCCGTACAGAGCACATTTTGATCTCAATTTTTCGTTTCTGACTTCTGTAACTGACCAGGTTTTTCTAGCTCCTTGACACAAAGGCCTTCAGAACATGACGATCCGGGATACGTGGTGCAGTCGGTATCCGACCTGCATGCATTACCCTTCTCCCACATAACACTGTTTGTGTAATATCCACTGAAAACAGGTTATCACTATAGATGCAGTCTGTGATTACAGTACAGTAAGCATTTATCGAGTACTCTTTCTAAACTCGAATCTGAAAGGGCCCTTTGTAAATTCCTGAAGGCTCACATTTTATTGTATAAGCACATAACTGTTAGCCTGGTTCCGCCACAAACCTTGTAAGCACATCCGATACCGGTGGTCTTTGAGTGAACCATCTGGAAGTGAAGCTTTGAAAACTGTACTAAAGCAAGGTTTGAAAATCCTGCTACCGTAGTGTATTACCGTAAACTACAATCTGACAGAAAGCGTTACTTATAGGCTTTCCAAATCCTCAAATAGCAGAAGCTCTCATCCCAATGGAATAACTTACATTAGCGAAGTGGTAAAGCGCTGGATTGACGTATTTATTCTCAGGATCCATGCTTCCATATGCACGCACACTTCCCCACCATCGCGACAGGATGCTGGCGATGACTACGGACGGATTTGATGCAGGATTTATGTACGTACTAAATAAATTAACAAAAACCTAAAATAAAGACTAGCAAAACATAAACCCATAAAAAAAAAGCCAGGTGAGCTCTGAAATAAGTGACTTTTTGGTGAAGCCACCCCAAAGACATTGTCCGAGCCGACTGCATGGTAGGAAACATGGAAGAGAGACATTCAGCCACAGCTTTTCCTTATTATATTATGAGTTTAATATGACAGGAGGTGTACAGTACCCCAAAACCGAGCGTAAGATTTGAGACGTACCCCGCACTCAATCAGGTCGTTAGATTGCTACCTCGTCCAAGTACATACACTCCTTATCCCTGAGCCAGAGTAGGCGTGGCATTTGAACATGGCACGGAACTGGTTACTCGTGGAATATTCCAATCTGGGACAACTGTCATCTTGTTCTGTGTTGGACAGAGACACGACAACAGTTGTGTCAAGATGGAAATATTCCACCAGAAGCATAGACACCTTCAGGTTAAGTTGAAGAATGCAGCCCCGCCTACCCGATCTCAGGGATCTCGAGTATAGTTCAATGCGTAACTGCCAAGTTTGTCCCTCTTTGGCGGCTTCAAAACCAGGGCACGCCATCCTTGTGATGATCACAACGGAGGGGTCGTATTTGAACGTGAGGGGGAGTCGTATTCGGTTTGAGAAAAAGTCCAGAAGGAAATTTCGTAAGAACTTGTAGGAGGTTAGGAAAAATCTGGGAAAATTTGGAAATTTTGACGTCTCACATTGGTTAGATACCCCCCCCCCTCCCCCCCCGCTCGACGGAAACCTTGGCTGAAAAACTGGAAATTTTTTCGGGAAAAATGGAAAAAGTGGTAGGAAGTTGGGAAAATCTAGGAAAGTGGTAGGTAGCATGGGAGGAGGGGGGGGGGTCGTATTTGAGGATAGAATTAGAGGGGTCGTATTTTTCAGGAAATGGTCACACGCAATGGCGTGCCCTGTTCACAACGATACCGTATCTAAGCAACTTATGATGATCGCACCGCTTTATCACACATTGAGGAGCCGCGAAAGTGGGACAATTTCGGGATTAGGCACCGGCCTTCGGGCAAGGAAGGGATCCTACGAATTGGTTGAGCATGAAGTCGGCTAAAGGCATACGGCACGATGATTTGGTACTCGGTGTAATATGTTAGCAGGGGTGCTATATAGCGGGAACATGGCGATAAAATGAAATGAATGAAACTGTCAAAAACCTGCGAAGAAGTCTTGTTTTTACACCACTTAGAAAGCGATTTCGGACGAGTTCTCCGTTGGCACGGTGCCAACAGTCGCTACGGTAGATAGGGCTGCATGTATCTACCCATATATGTCTTCGCTTCATATTGCACTTCGCAAATGAAGCGTTACGAAGCATCAGCATCGATCGGAGTTGGCGTGGGGAACTATCGTGTCATCTGCCTTCAAGGGCTTGATTTTCGTCTACGTGTACAACATCCCCGACTGCGCGGAGCAGTTGCAGCGGCTTAAGCTGTGGGTGGACGGCGGGATTTACCTCGCCCTCGCTCCGCGCGGCCTCACCTCATAGCCTTGCCCCCGTCCTGACCGCGTTTGTGCGCGATATTCTGAATCAGTGGTGAAACCTAGATAAACAGTGCTGGTTCTTGGTAATGAGACATCAAACTCACCTATAAAAGTTCCTAGCCAGACCTCCTGAAGTTTTCGTCCACTGTGGACAAGAAGCGATGAGATTTTGGGCGTTCTGTTCCATAGAGCAGTCCCATTGCTTGAAAACATCAATTTAGAATAGTTTACATGCATACTGAATGAGCAACCTATGTAGAACAGTCATCAAACGTTTGCTTGCTTTACGCGTCGGCTGTCAACCTAATTACCCCAAATAGGCTATCAGAAATTTGTTGCTGGCACCATCAGGGCACATGGAGTTATTATCACTGAAGGCAGTCGGGGCGTGAGTTTTGGCGCAGCGCAAGCCCCTTTCCCGCTACTCATAGAACGCCTCAAACCGCAGCAGTTGATGGAAATTAACTGGCTCCGTTCCAAGAATTACGTCGCTGACACGCCCCGACTGGCTTAGAAAATAACAACTGTAACTGGAACGTGGAATTTTTTTGCAGAACACAACAATCCAACTCTGGTTTACGCATTCTCGAAATTCCACTGATCCCAGTGCTCGAAAGTAGCTAACAAAGTTGCTTACCAATTTGTACATATTCTTTGCTGCTGGCAAGAATCCACACTTGTTTGGCTCCAATCCTTTTGCCACACTCAATCGGGCGTCGTTGTGAGCGTTCAGGAAAAGCAGCCTGGTAGAGTCGGTCATTCCGAAGTTAGAGCAGCCGAATGCTAGAAGTACAGAATTAGGGGAATTAGTGGACAACCCAAAAGTTTCGGAAGAACTGATTACCTTGCTGCTTACTACGAACATCTTCAGATCGTACAGCAACACAGAACACCAACTGAAATAATAATAGTGAAGAGATTCTGCAGTTCGACCATCGCTGCCACCGTAACCCACGTACGTCCCCGAACTAACAACTTGTAAGGACACTCTTGTGAAGCACACCGTACCCGCTAAAAAAAGGTTGAGATGGCTGAGTCAATGTGCCATACGCACGTGAGACGGGCACTGCCTAGAGCTACATAACATGTTCGTTTAGGTGGGTCTTCAACTTCGGTGAATGAGCAGAGTGTGTGGGCTACTCAGACATTTCCCGACTACAAAGATATCTTTTTAGTATAAGCTTCATAAAACTGTGAGCTCAGCTCTATAAAACTGCGAATACACTAAAATTCTTTTTTGAAAAAAAAGGAATTCGAAGAATTCTCAGTTCCTCGCTAACATCATTGTCCTGTTATACTGTATTCAATATAGGAGCCTGAATAAAATTGTTGCGCTTCTCAAACTCAGTTTTTATTTCACATTTGGCCCGAAGATGAGCACGCAGCCACGCCCCCACCACCATCCAGATATGTAGTCTAAAGACAGGAGACCTCATTTTCCTTTATATGATGCATGAGCTAAAATAAAAAGCAAAAGAAAACACACCAAGTTAACCCAGAACAGTAGTTCGGCGTATTTGCATAGTCCTTGCGAATTGGAATAAGCAGACATTTTTGAGAGGAACATTCTCGTCTATGTTCCGCATTGAACGAATCCGTTGCGATGCCTTCAGCTAGGAATCGTGGAATATCTGAAATATATTCATCAACACTATTAACCGCTAGGTCGCATTATTACCAGAATTCGTTGGAATGACCGAACGGAGCAACCCATCAGGTGAATAACGGCGTTTATAAAAAAATGATTTTCTGACCAGCAGTTTCTGTGGCCTCCATACTTCATCTCCAGCCTTTCTACATGTTTCTGCTTGCTTTTCGAATCACTGATGTGCCCTTCTTCGGTGTACGACATAATGCCGCCGTTCAGGCAGTCCGTGTATTAACCCCTAGGATTTCGCTATCAGGAAGTGTCCACCTTCTTCACCAACGGAGTGGGTCATTCTAGATGATGCACTGAAAATTTTCTCCACATGGTATAAAGACACATTTGGTACAGTCGTCATCCTTGCACTTGATAGTCAATGTCAGTGCGGCTGCGTGCGGCGCGGTCGCCCGCACCCGTACTGCACCAATCGTTGAACCAGGAAGTGACATTACTGTATTATATCCTTCGTCTGTTACTCGTCTATCACTTTTTGTCGCATACGCGTTTCAACGAAAAGGCTGAGAAGGCTTCAAACAGTGTGCACGCTCCTTCTCGCCGACACGCCCCTATCAAGTGCAAGGATGACGACTGTAGTGCGGTCAACACACACTGGAGGTTG